GATTCTTTCACCTGGGTGGAACCAATTCACTGGACAGAATCTTTTAAATATCTTGGTTATTGGATTTGTCACAGACTGTGAGGGAAAAAAAAGATCAAAACAACCATGAAGAAATTCAGGCCAAGAGTTAACATGGTTAATGCATTCAGAATCAAAGGGCATACGTCCATTCAACTAAAACGTGCTCTTTTCTCGTGCTACATTCTTCCAGTCTTTACATGGCTATTTGCAATTTTCCCCTTATTTACCGAAAAAACAACGAAATGATCTATCACATTTTTATTAAACATCTGTAAAACGTACCTGTCGAAATCTTCATTGAACTGATACACTCTTCTCTTTCTTCATGAACAAAATTTCCTTGGAAGATAGATGTTTCCAATATCAGAATAGATATTGGAAGGCGCTAGCTGGAAGCTTGGATGATCATCTATTACTGGAACAAACAAATCGAAATATATAAAACCGCATGGTTGAATCAACAAATGTCCATAAAAGGTGTTCATCGCTCTAAAATATTCATACACCATCAATCTATCCTTGAGAGAGTTCTTCATTGGTGTGCTGTTTCTGCAGTGACTGACTCCATCCCCAACTTTGACATTGAGAATGTCTTAACTCTGGCAAATTTCCCTGAAACATTTTAAATAAATCGATGACTGGTGAAAAATAAAGAATTAAACAAAATTAAAGTAACCATCGCTTAGTTCTGTACTACTTCCACTTCTATCGTTTCTACTCCACTGCTTCACAGTGAGTTCAATTAATTATGCAGTCCGATAAAGAAAGAAATATAGCCATGCATATCCTTCTCTCTCTTCTTCACGTGATGCTGCTATGCGGAGGATATAGCTAGCCATTTCATTACATTTTCCTATTCCATCACTTTTCGTTCATGTTGTCTCACTATATGATAAGAAACTTACGTCAAAAATTTGTCGATGTTCTTTTTTTTGTTTGTTATTTTTTTGTAGTAGGTGATAGAAATACATTCGTCTTTTCTTTTTGTCTTTCGGTTTCTCTCGTGATACACTATTTGCGTCCATAAATTTATTTATTTTACTAACTATGTGTAATCGTCTATTCGCTCATTGCTTACACTAATTATGTTGTTTATTATATTGCATTTTATTTCCTTTTGTTGTTCTTGTCCTCCTCATTTTGTCGTCCATGCACTGTTCCTCCTCGATTCCTTTATTTTCTAAACAAGCCTATGTACTGATAGGACCTTAATGGTCAACAGGATTGCAAATAAAAAAACAAGCAGTTTACAATATTTCTATCTTTTTTTTATAGATCCAATTGTCTTTATTTCTTAATCGCTCCTGTAAGGATCTGTTGGAACTTTGTGTCTTGAGAACCTTACCAGTCTCTATTCAGGATCCTACGTCCAGTTTAATGATTTTCTGCTTTCAAGATTGCTTAACGCTGAAGAGAAACTTTTCTATGATTTGTTGAAATTTCTGTTCTAGATAGAATATGTGTGAAGCTTTAATTAAGATCTAGTCAGATTCAACCTATAATTCCCATTAATCGTACAACATAGATCAATAATATTTTTCATTCTATTTTGTTTTCCAAAATCACCCTACTTCATCGGTATTTTTGTTCACAGATCGTGCGATTATTCTTCTGAACAGAACGCATGATTGATCTAGATTGTAAGATTCATTGGAGTAATGTTTCAGATCCGACCTTCACATAAAAACTAATAAATAAACTAGAGGTGGTTTTTAAGCAAGTATACAACTGAAAGGTGCAGGTAAGGATTAAATAATGATGAATCTACACTCATCTTACCTGAAATCCTTAGCATTTGCTGACTATATGTTTCGTTCTGGACTTATGACTTCGTAATCTAATTCCTGATTTGAAGTCTAGTGGTAAGCTACTTCAGATATTAATGAGTCTTATTCAGAAGTCTGAAAAGTGATTCGTGTCTCGAAATTGAAATTTACGTTTTTTTTAACAAGATCGAAACCGAAATCATCTTTGAAATTGCTATCAGATTTCGAAAGGAAATATTTGTAGTTTTATCTTTTGTAATTTTTTAGTAAAAGTATAAGTGCAAGTATGAGTAGATTATTTGAAATATAAGTAAAATACTTTTCTCGTTGTATTTTTATCTGTCCTACCACGAATTTCGTCTAAAAACAAGAACCTTAGTTCAATAGATCATAAATTTTTATACTATCAAAGTGACTCGTACAGAAACATTAATAGAAGATTGCTCACAGAGATTTCGAATTTATTAAAGAACTGTAAGTTATGAGAGAATTATCTAATTCACACAGTCAACACTTAGTAAACCTTCGAGTGAAATAAAAAAAAACAAGTGGTATTGCTTTTCCCCTAGTTTTCACAAGCAAATTTAAAGATATGCTCTTACAGAAGCTTCTTAAAATCAATAAAGCAAACTTTATATACAGGGTGGTCCAAAAGTCACCGGGCAGTCAGTCTTTAATTTTGAATAACTTTTGATAGAAGCAAGATAGAGAGCTGCGGCTTTCACTGTTCGAAAGAGAGAGTGTTATTACATAGTTCCATGTGTTATTCAACGATCTTGTCTGTGATCAATTAGTGAGTCTTCGAAAAAAAAACAGTGACAATTCTATGAAGATAGCATGAAGGTTCAAACCTAAGAAGTGCACTAGACCCACGTCCTTATAATCCAAGCCCAATGCCTCATCGCCTAGTGTCGCATTTATAACTTTTGATTAAAACAAGATAAAATTTTTGGGCATAAGCATGAGAATGGATCTTAAGGACGCGAGCCTAGTGCACTTCTTAGAATTGAATTTTCATGCTATCTTCATAGAGCTGTCACTGTTTTTTTCGAAGATTCACTAATTGATCATCATACAAGATTGTTGATTAATACATGGAACTATGCAGTAACATTCTCTCTTTCGAACGATGAAAATCGCAGCTCTCTATCTTACTTCTATCAAAAGTTATTCAAAATTAAAGACTGACTGCCCGGTGATTTTTGGGCCACCCATATATATATATTAGGCCATACGTTCTCACCATGTATTGTCTATATATATATATGAAAATACTTTATTTAAAAAAAATTACTTTTTATTAGATTATAAGTTATAATCATCACTCAAATGATTGAGGAAGGAAGTGCGAAATTAAGATTTAGATAAATTTATTATTTCTTAAGATTGAATTTAGTAGAATATGCATTTCGAGCTAGAAGAGAAAATATATTAAGTAGATAATGCAACAAAAGAAAAGGAATTGCTGTATTTCTTGATGGGATCATTTTTTTGGTAAAAAGATAAAATAAACAAATATAATAACAAAAATATTTAAACAAAAACTTCATACTATAGTACAATGAGATTCTGATAAAATGCTCTAAATTCTTATACAACAATAGTCAACATTATATCTTCGAATTATGTTAAACGTATTCTTCTATGACTTTTATTGCTTACAAGTTTGAGTTTGTTGAGAATTCAATGGTTCAATCTTTCCTAGAAAATAAAAACTTAAACTGTATTCATAAAATTAAAAAAATACTCCTAAAAAAGATACATTCTTATGGTGAACTGAACGAATATCAAGAATATATCTTAAAGATTTATTTTTTTCTTCGAACGAATTCTCAGTAAACTTTAATGATATTTCTATATAACATCTTATGTAATTATCAGTCTAATTTGAGTAAATGAGGTGATTTTTTTTTGTGTATTTCTTTTTCTCTAATGCAACCAAAGTATTTGATAAATTAAAGAAGCGTAACTTTTTTCAATTTTTAAATTATTACGTCGTATACAAAATTTTTCAATAGTGATTATTCTCATTGTAAATTTGATAGGAAAGTATCTTATCGACATATTCAGATGACTGCATGGAGCAATCGCTTGAGATCAGATCTTTCACACACAATCAGTTCTTTTTTCAGACAAACATTGTTTTAAGTAAGCGTTTCTATTATTATATAAAAAAGTACATCTATGTATAAATAGATGACTATTTTTTGAGTTTTTCAAGGTGTTGAACTTGTCATCTATTGTGCTTTTGATCCTTGTTTATTGAATGTCTTTTAAAGACGTCATGATATAGGATTGAAACTGTTACCAGTCTCTCTATTGGAGTCTCAATAAATCCTGAGAATTTCATATGATTTGAATGTACCTGGGCTAAGATTGATTTTTCCAAAAATGGAAAGTTCAGGTGAAAAATTTCTATTAAACTATATTTCAGCGCCTTTTTTCGTCACTAAACAACTCTAGACCAAAAATATGATGTCTATTTTCCTCGTTTGTTATGTTAAAGTATCCGAATGATTCTCCTGCAGACACAGAATCTAGACTTAGAACTTACATTCACCATATTTTTCTTCGAAAGAGTGTGGATAGACTCAGAGCGAGTATACGAAAGATGCGCGCAATAAAACTTGTACACGGATCGAAATATCAGATTTCGAAGCAAAAAAGACTCTGCCAACTACATTAACACTCACTTCCACACTTATCCTTGCACTCTCAATTGTCTATCACACAGTGTTCACAAAACTGCCGTGCAAAAGTTTCGTCGTGCACATTTTTCGGGATCTCACTTAGAGAAGATCAACATCTGCATCCGTACTTATTCATACCTACCCTCAAAACTTGTGTATCATCTCGAGACATGGATCTTCGACAAAGTTCGAACGAATTACCAACGACTCGTTGTTCTCTAGAACATCACGACATACAGCACAAATTTTGTTACCCCAAAAAAAACCATGCAAAATACGGTGACCAAATGCATATGTGACCGACTATAGAAATATTATGCTTTGCACTGTAAGAACAATTTTAAAAAAGTCTTTATTACTAGAGTCTTTTGTTTTATTTATATTGATCAAGTAAACACATTGAAATTTCTAATAACACTATACATTCAATAGTTCACAGGAAACACACATACAAAACAAGTTTGTCAATAATGAATGAACAAATTGAGAAGAAGAAAAACAAAAACATAAGAAAAGAAAAATGTCATTGAATATGATTATCTTCATCAGATAAAATCGATCTATCTGATATACTTTTATTTGATAATAATGAATTTGAATCAAATTTAAATTGTCTTTTATCATAATATCGATGTATCAGAGGTGAATATGGATGAAAATTTTTTATATGTTCATAATGTTTTGCTGGATCAGTTGAAGTATGTCCACAATCTTCACATACATATAATTTATTTCGACGAATTTTATAACCATAGATATGATTTAATCCATGAACTTTTCGTTGATGAGATTCAAGACTACAACGTTGTGTAAATGCTTTTTCACATTGATCACATTTAAATGGACGAACACCTTTACAAAAAAAAAAAGAAAGAAGAATCTATATTGAAATAAAATCGATAAGAATAATATAAGAAAAAATCAAACCTGTATGTGTTCGTGTATGTCGTTTAAGATCAAATGTATCATTAAATCCTTTACCACAAAATGTACATAAATATCGTTTAAGTTGACTATGATTTTTTAAATGACGATTAAGTAAACGTTGAAGTTTAAATGTTTTCATACATAAACCACATATAAATTCTTCACCATGATTTGTTGCATTTGCTAAAAATATATAAATTTTATTCTTAGGAATATTGCGCTTAATTTCAACTGTTTCATTCGAATTAATTTCAAATATTATTTTATATTATGTCAAACTAAAATTATTATTATTTATAAAATAATTAAGTTACATAATCGAAATAGTCACATCAAGACTGA